TTATTCCGATTGCAGGCGACCGGTTCGTCCGAGCTCTGGTCTATTTCCTCGGCCTGTGCTACCTCTTCATCGGCGTGTCGATCATCGCTGACCGGTTCATGGCCGCCATCGAGGTCATCACGTCGCAAGAAAAAGAGGTCACCGTGAAACGGTCCGACGGGTCTCGTCAAATCATCGTCGTCCGCGTTTGGAACGAGACCGTGGCCAATCTGACGCTCATGGCCCTGGGATCCTCGGCCCCGGAAATCATGTTATCCGTCATTGAAATCTACGCGAAAAACTTTGTGGCCGGGGACCTGGGCCCGGGCACGATCGTGGGTTCCGCGGCGTTCAACTTGTTCATCATCATCGGGCTCTGCGTCTACGTCATCCCGGACAAGGAAGTGCGGAAAATCAAGCACTTGCGAGTGTTCTTCATCACGGCCACTTGGTCCGTTTTCGCCTACATTTGGCTCTACTTCATCCTCACCTGGTCTTCGTATGGGGAGGTTGAAGTTTGGGAGGGTTTGCTGACCTTCATCTTCTTCCCGGCGACTGTGGTTACAGCTTACATTGCGGACCGGAGGCTGTTGTTTTACAAGTACTTGGCGAAGGATTATCGGCTCAATAGACGAGGGATCGTTGTTGAGGCCGAAGGCGGTGATAAAGACAGTGAAGAAGGAGGCGAGAAGTTCAAGCACTTTGAAGAGGAATACGCTGACGAGAAGATCAAAGAGTTCGAGGACCACAGGAGAGAGTTTATCTGCATCCTGAAGGACCTTCGGCAAAAGAATCCGAATATGGACATGATCACTTTGGTCCGCTACCGCTCTCTTCTTCATGACTTAGCACCTGGCTTTAGTTCCCGCATGATGTCCATTCTGAGCAACATCATGAGTTGTAGGTTGTTACTTTAAATTAAAGTTATGCGAAAAACCCCTGACAAGTACTGTACTGAATAATTTGATGATATTGACTAGATTTTCGAATTTGATGACTGGAAAAATGCCCACATGATAATATTTGCCCATATAATCAATTACATCTTGCCTTTCTGGCTTTAGTCTCAGATTTTTAAATAACTAGTTTAAAATCTTAAGGATCTTTTGCACACAAAAAATAGTTCCAATCACAGATCTCTTCAATTTGAGGTTTGAAACCTTTTCGAAGCATATTTTTTATTGATTACAGCTTTCGTACAGCATGCTACAAGAACTAGTCAGTCAAAATTAGGATCAGAAGTTTCAGACTCTGCTTGCCTTAGTCAGGCGATTTTAATCTGAAGAATCTATTGAAAATTAGGATTCTGTCACAACTCGAAAAAGTTTTCAAATACTGCGATTCGGAAGTTCGTTATACAGAGACTGCTTTAATATTTACTCCACGGGCTTTCTGCTGGGACTTGGGGAAAAATATGTTACACTTCAAAATTTGTTGTAACGAGATTTTGCTGTAATAGCACTTTGTGCCGGCGATGTTTTCCATGCGTTAATTGAGCATGAAATCATATTTTTTTCTTTTCGGTCTTTCCCATTCAATCCGTAAGGAAGATATCAAATCAAAACTTTAAAAAACTGCGATGGATATGAAATATGAATGATTTACAATGCCCAGATCGTACCCAGATCTTGTGCACACAACAAGATGAAAAGCTGTAGTCTTTTTCTAATTAAAAACTTCATATTTCACAGAAAAGCTTTCATTCAGTCAAGTCTGTCAATTTTTCCTATTTTTTTTCTTCCCTATTTGTTAATGATTAATCTCAGATTGTTTGGTGAGATATTACGCACAAAATGAAAAATATTATCTCAGAAACATGAGGGTAATGCGGCACTAAGTTTTTGAACTTTATTGGTTAATACAGCGTGGCACTTTTTCAAAAATTTTTCATTTGACATGGAATGAAGACCAATGCGTTTCTCGAACTTTGAAATGCAGTACCTCTTCCTCTTGCTATAAGATCTTCCTCTTGCTTTTTCCACATGATTTGTTGCAATTTTTTTAGGATCTCTTGCTCATGTCGATGGAAATTTTGCTCTGCAATATTCTCTCCAAAAGCACACCTTCTAAAATCAAAAATCAATGGAACGGTTAAATGCTTGAGAAATACAGCAACATTGGTTTTTTTTTTTATTTCTTCACGCTCACGTTAGGCTTCCATACAAGGAAAAAGTAGTTCCGTATACGAACAAACAATTTACTGGGCGATTGAAGTTCATTTTACCATCTTTTAAGCTATTTTTTTTTACATTATTTCGAAATCGATGAAACAAAAATTTAGCGCTGTTAGAAAACTGACGGTACATTTAAAAAAATTTCGAGAGTTGTCTCTCATGATGGATCGTTTCCACCAATCATAATTGGAATGGACGAAACATTTATATGAAAAGATACGTGGGGAAAAGTTTATTGAATGCCAGTACATTGCAGGTACAATATATGAAATTTTGAAGAACGTTGTTAATGACCACGAGGTAGATTATTTGATCTCTCATTTCATCTTGGAAAAATGTTAAGTACGCTACTTAACATCAATTTTTGGCAGCTAGCCGTAAATTTGTACTTTATTTTACCGTGGTTGCCTTTTTCGCAAGCAACTCGACTAAAGGAGAGGTGATTAACGCACAGTACTACTAATGCCTCTAAAATGTGGTTTTCATCATGAGAATATGATTATGACATTTTCGTGAAACTGCCACAAGTTACTTCCTCATCTGTCTCCATTAAAGATAATCGTTGTCAAGATGATGCTACTGATTTCCTCTCATATAAGAGGAACAAGCCAAAAGTCCTGAAATCTAGTGAAGAAAAAAATTTTGCCTCCTAGATCTCCCAGGCTACGAATACTTGTACTTGGCGATGCAATGACTCATTTTCCCGAGATATTCATTTTTTCTTCAACATCTCGTGCACTGCTGTATCTTTAAAACTATATTAAATTTTAATGTTTGTGTGGATTTAATAGCTCGTGGGTAAACCTTCAAAAATGCAATGGTTGCCCAGAGAAGAAACGTGATTTCTTCCAACAAATGGTTTTTATTATGGGAGTAGTTTTCTGATGAAAAAAGGAAGGGAAACAATAAAATTCATCAGAAAATAGAGAAACACGAACCAGAATTAACGCAGGAATGTATTTGAGAAGCAATTCGGACCTAAAAGTCGAGGTTAAAATACCTCCAACGAATTGAAGATTGACAAAACAAAATCCAGTCATTTTTCCTGGTATGATGGGATTTTTTTTCATGACACGCGGTTCTTTGTATCTTTAAAAGAAACGGCTGTTGTGTGAAGTTTCCGTTGTATGGAGCAGCATTAAAATTTATGTCTCAATAATATGATGAATTACATCCAAGTGGCCTTCAATCAGCCCTTCAATGCTTTTTTTGGTTGTTGTTTTTGTTGGTAGAATACAACTGTTACCTTCGCCTGTATATAATACATACCATTGCGGAAGTTCCCGGCCTCGAACCCGGGCGTCAAAGCAAATTATTTTTAACGGATGCGAGCGAAACCGGCATTTGAAATTTTTCCAGGATTCAAGCCACCAGGAAACTGACTGGCGGCGGGAACCTGGCCAAGAAAACCCACGACCTGCTTCAAGCCGAGGTGGAAAGCGAGAAGAAACAGGAGGAGGAGAAACCGCGCGACCCGAACGAACCCACGTCTGTCTACTTTGACCCGGGCCACTACACTGTTATGGAGTCGGTTGGCTCCTTCACGGTCACTGTTTCCAGAGATGGCGGCGATCTTGGGCTGACTCTAATGGTCGACTATTCTACTGAGGATGGAACAGCCAACGCAGGTTCGTGAGCATCACATTTACAGAGAATGGCATGTTTATTTCAATGGGTCCCACAAAGCCGCAGAATAGTAGACCACTCAAAAGGCTGAAAATTTTTCATTGAAACCTTTATTATTCAAGCCAAAGACAAGTTGCCTCGAGTTATGGAGAAAATACTGCAAAACGAATGAATAACGGAAATGAAAACAAAAATCATTTTCATATTCGACGGGATAAAAATTGTTAGTTATAATAATGTATAGCCAACATTCCTCGAAATCTAAAAAAAATAACACATCATTCCGACATACAGTCCCTGACTTCGTTAGATTATCTTTGCTAATTTGTTAATATGTGTGTTTATCTTTCACCTCTCAAATCAGTTTTAAAAAATATTTTAGCTCTCTATAATCCTCGTCATATCCTAATCTTTTCGGAAAACAATCTTCATTCAAAATTGAAGTTTATCTGATTGGAATAAAGCGATTCGCATCAAAATCATGTTTTTGTTTACCGTGTATTTCTTCTAAAATATTTTGAATTTGGACATGCTGGTGAGTAAAATGAATGGCTATATATGCGACGCAGAGATGTGTTAATGCTCCTGCGTGAATAATTTCAAAAAACAAATATCCAAAAGCGTTGTTTTTATTGAAGCTTCATGTTTTTTCCAAGGGAATTTTCATCGTTCGCCAAATTCATTTGTGGGAAAGGTCAGATTTTTCAAATAACTTTATCGAAGCAGAAAAAATCCTCGCAATGCCGGGGAAAGTTCGACACATATTACTTGAAAAAAATGACTTACAATTAGCTTGAATCATTGCATGACTTGAGAATTGCGTTTCATTTGCGAAAAGAATGGCCTCCATTTATGTTTTGATGGAGAGGCTTCTGTGAAGACCATAAAAACACGCATAAAAACGCGAACCCTTTTTTAGGTTGAAAATATTCATCCAGAACAATTCAAGAGAATAGAGAAAATATTTTTCGCCTAAAAGGCGAATTAATCTATTGAAGCAGTACTCCGGTAATCCATAAATTATATTTTTTGGCTTCACTCTACGTCACACAGAAGTACCAATAATATTTTCATCGCTCTTCGTCATATTCCAGCAACGGCACGCGGGTGGTAAAACCAAAATTACTGCGGTTGGACTGAAGATTCTGGAAGGAAAGATAAGAAAAAATATGGATATTTTGAAGAATTTTTTTTCCAAAGCTTATATCATCCGAATTGATCAATTCATTTGTTATTGAAAGGTATCTAGCTCAACGAACTTATATGGAAATATAAATTATTACCTGCACTTACATGTGTCTAAAAATGTGGGAAGCGAGATGTTGAACTATATATTTGTTCAACTTGATCAAAATCATATTGAAATTTAAGCGAGCGATGAAAAAAAATTACGGGAACATTTCATCAGAAAAGCCGCAGACTGAAACGCAAAAAACCGTAGTACTGCACAAAATTGCCATTTAGATCTTTCTGGAGGAAAATTATTCAACTGAAATCACTGTGAAATATAGAATAAAAGAAAGCTTGGAGCTGCTTCCCAAAAAGTGATCTTATTTTTTTCATTGACGCAATTTTCTTCTATTGATTTTCCGAAATAAACGGCGATGCAACCCTTGATGGACATTTCAATTCAGCTCCTTCTTATTTCATTCAATGTTCCGTCTTTAGTCATGATGATCCATGCCAGAGGAGAAGACTTACTATTTTCATCTTTGACGCAATTTATATATTTATTTCTCCAGAAGCGGCAATGCAACCGCCTTGATATAAATTTTTAAGCAACCCCTGCTGATTTAATCCCATTCCACGTCTTTTGTCATGATAATCCATGCATCAGGAGGAGATTCCCTGTTTTCATCGTTGACGCAATTTTTTATTTTTTTATTTCTAAAACGATAAACCTTGAAATTACTTTCAGTCAAATCCTTACTTATATCATTCAATGCCCCGTTTTCCGTCATGATAATCCATGATATATAGGAGGAGACTACGAGGAAGCTTCGGGCACACTGGTGTTCCGCCCTGGGGATCGACACCAGACATTCGATCTGACGGTTATCGACGACGACGTGTTCGAGGAAGACGAGCACTTCTACGTGAGGTTGTCGAATTTGCGGGTGCAGTACCCGGACGGGCGGGTGGAAGTGGCCCCGACCCCGGGCCGCCAGGCCGCGGGTGGGCGCCCCTTCCCGGCCAAACTCGACGCCCCTGCCCTGGCCACGGTCATGATCTTGGACGACGACCACTGCGGCATTTTCAACCTCGCCGACAAAGACATGGAGATTGTGGAATCCGTCGGAGAATGCGAGGTGATTATTGGATCGAAAATTCATCATCCTGGGGGCATTTCACTCGTTTTTGGGCGTCAATAATGTGCCTTATTTTATTTAAAAGATGTGCCACTATATTCGTTTTCCTCCTCTCCGAGAAGCACTTTTGCGGGATCTTACCTTTTCCTAGAAGTCTGGAGCATTTCAATCTTTCTTTTTTGTTGGGGGGGGGGGGGGGACAGTGCATATTTAAAAAAGAAATCTGCCATTATTCGCGTTTCTCCTCTCTCCGACACCTATTTTTGCGGGGTCTTCTCTATATACCCATTCGACTTCAAATCAATTTACAAATTATTCTTGACTCAAGGAAAAGACCTCTTATTTTAATATCGCTGCTAAAACTTTAATTTATAAAATGTACTAGGTTACGCTGAAGGCGCATTAATGGATTATTGCTCCTTTCACAAACTTCGAAGCTGTATATTCTTCCAGTCAATCAGTCTGCCAATATCCCTAAGACCATGAGCCTCTCTCAGCTGGGTTTAAAAGAAATTGCGGACACATAAATATATACCTTTAAATATCCCTGATTTATCCAATATTCTAAGTACCATGTCTCAAATTATCATCATATCAACGATTGTAAAACCATGCAGCAGAATTCGAATTATCATGGCTAACGACCGCGTAATTTCGTCGAGACAATCAAATGTCACGACGAATAGCGACTGCTGAATTTCGGGAATAAAAATGCCGTAACTAAGTGATATAAAATCACCTATATAGATTCGAGAAAATCTTGAAATGAACCTATATAATTATTTGATCATATGGGAAGGAGCGGCTGCAACTGAAATTGAGAGATTCCACTGATCAGAAACCCCCTGTTTTCGGAAATAAGTCATGAATGTTTGAGTATGGATGGCTTATTGTCGTGGCTAATCTAAATCCAGAATTCCAGATACAGTAATTGGTGATTTACTGTTCACTATTATGAACAATTTTGCAATGTTCCGTGAGCAAAGTTTTAAAAAATTCCGCAGCTGTGCAGGAATCAATTTCATTGATTCCTGCACTGGCATCGGAGCGACGGAAATTTTCAAAATTGTTCCTGGAAACCGAAAGTTATATCCGTTATACCGTAGTTTACTTTACACGAAGTAATTGTCTGTATGAGAAATCCGAAGTAATTTTTATAAAATTTCAAGTTATCGAAGTATTTTTGTGCTGATCAAAAATTAAAATTCTACTTTCAACCCATCAGATGAAAATGCGCTATTACTAAACCGCTGGCACCAAATCTTCTTACACTGATTCTGCTGCCCATCAAATGTGGGGGTTTATAAGGTTGGATTAAATCGCAGTACATAGAGCTCCGATCATCAGAGATAATGACAAAGCTCATTTGCCCAACAAATGGGCTCCTCATCAGGGGAAGTGAGCTTTTTTCGAACTTGATGCGAGACGCATTCACAGATACATGCTGAAAAAAAATCGAAAAAAGGTTCCACTGAAAGAGCTCTCTTCAATTCACTCAACCAGTGGCATAATCGGAAGGAATTCTTTGGGCGATTCACGAGAGAAAGTTTGAATGACACGAATTTGAGTAAATGTTGTTGGCGGAATTCTTAATTTAAAACCAAATCGCAATCAGCACTCGAAGACATTCACAGCGTCCTAAATCAGTTATTAACACAGAGCTTTCAGACTTGAAGCTTCTCGAACTGCATAACATCAAAGTACAGTATTCAACTTGCAAAATTTGAATTTCCATAATCGAATTTGAGCTCAGGAACGTCGTTGCTGCTAAATTATTTTTGGTGATGATGTGATTCGGTGCCTTGGCTTTAGTATTTGAAAAAGAAAAAGGATAATAATTGATTGTTTGTGGAATCCGTTCAGGAGATTCCCGGCTAATGCAAAACGGTTGACTGCCTTTTATTATCTGACTTTCTCACCGCATACATTTCCGGAATTACTTTATTTAAAAAAAACTGCATGAACAAACCAATGCAAAGATGAAGTTTATCCTCGCAACCGATTTTTAAATATGATTGGAATATAGCCTGCCATAATTTCCCGAGCACTCGTCCCGCTAAACTGTATGAGCGAGGATAAATAGTAAATCGTGAGTAAATGAAGTGGCTTAACTGAATCGTATACAGAGCAGTGTTTTGTATTCTCTCGGAAAATCCAAAAGGTTGCATAATTTATGCATATGGAAGATGTTCAAAGGAAAAGAGAAGCAAAATGTCACTGCTGCGAGTAAAAGCAGTTCAGTCGGGAGCTCGGTATTCCCAGGGAAGCAAAATTTAAATGCAGTATTTATTCACTACATTTACCTATTTTTTTTAAAGAGAAAATCAAGATAGTTTAGGCATGCAAGCATTCTTCTGTTGAAAGGAAAAACGGAAAACCTGCGTAGTCAGCATGTCCACCATCAGCTCCAGTCGTCTCTCTAGCCTGAGAATGGCGAACAAAGAACAGCAAACTGGCTCCAGTTCTCCATATTTTTCAAATTATCCTTGTGTTCTATATTTTGCGATGGAAACAAATGGAGCCGAGGATGTCAGATCCTGGATCTTGAGGACTGAAAATTACTATTAAAAATGAGGTCAAGAGATAAATTCACAGCCACAAATTTCTTCAGTTTTTACGAACACCTTCATTCCGGTTTTATTTCTTAAGAAAAAAAAATCACATTTGCCATGATTCGATGTCTTCAGAGGAGCTTTATTGTCTTGATACATTCCTTGTATTAAAAAGCCTTACATTTCTGAATAATAGCTTATTAAATTCTTACTTCGAATCCATCAAGTTTGGATCCATTAGCACTGGATAGCTGCAGCAATTATTTCAATAACTTTTTCTAATATTTTCGCTTTTATGTTACTCGGAAAATTTGACGCGTCAGTTTCAATTAAGTTGTTACGTTTCACTGGCGTAAGAGCTTCTGCTATCATCGACATTAAGGGTACAGGCGTTGAAGATATTGAACCGATTATCTATTGGACTCCTGCTGTAAATATTGCAGTATGATGGGAATGGCTAGAACTTTTGCCAATCAGGAAATTGCAAAAGTTTTACTTGCTCCAATTTGGTTGTCATAAACGCAAGTGCCACTCCATATGTTATACCACCATGAGCAGATTACCACCATCTGCTCTTCAAATTAGTTTTATACAGAGAATCAACTTATAATATTTTTCTATGCCTGATTTTGAGATAACTGTGGTATTAAACAGCATTAAATTTACAGTACTATAAACACAACTGACCGATGATGTATTGGGGTTTCGGGGTCATTACAGAATAATTGAAAAATTATAAAAATTCTATGGGTATACCATGCTGATAATCTGCGTTGAATTAATTTTTTCAGATTCGAATTAAATTCATCGAAGTGTACCTGGTACATTTATGCACTTAATTCTCCGCAATTAAATCAGCCATCAGCAAGGAAAGAAGCTTCCCAGCGAACCTTGCTTTTGTTTTATTGCCATCAACCGTATTTTATTATAAGTTTCAATCACGTCCATCAACATCTAAGGTGAGGGGATGTCGAACATTTACAGTACGTATAATGCTTTCAATTCTTTCATCATGTCATATGAGCACTGAAGAAGATTAAAGGTAAATTGTATACGTAACGTGTGCATTCGTTTTCCATTATCATTTTACCCAAATTCTCCAAATACAAAAAAAAAATCAAATGACGAAGGTTGAGTATCAATAAAATCGTTGACATCTGGTACTTCGATCATTTCGCATGTGAGGACTCCTTCCAATCAATCCATCAAAGGTTATCCAATCCAGAAACTTCTTCGAAGTACTTTATTCTGCTTGATGCGACAGTTCTTCGAAGTTTCGACATGTGAAGATTAATTTACTTTGCACGGTTTCTAGGAAATTATAAATCGACCATAAAGTAATTAACGTTCGACTCGAAAGCAGAATTTCAGAATTATACTGTAAATCAGGAGTGGTACACTATACGTTTCCGTGATCAAGCGAAATCTGGCCTGAGAATAAATCGCATTTCGATGCTTGTATAGTGGATTGAAAATAATTTTATACTAGTGATTAATTCATCGGCTTTGATGGCTTTTGGCTTCATCGAATTATTTTCCGTACATATTCGTATGGAAAATATTAAGTAGCAATCAATGTGTCTCTATAGATCGAGCGTTTTTCTAAATATGAATTTTTGATTCCATAAAAATGTACTTGTACGCATTTATCTTGCGGCAGTACAAATATTTCAAGACAAATCGCCTCCAGCACGTTATAAATTCAAAGCAATTCAGGAATCGTTCGAAAACTAGCATTGCAGAATTACGCAGTGAGCCTGATTTCCGCTTGAAGTCAAAATAGTTTCCTGCTCAATTATTGACAATTATTTTACGCTAAAATTTCCTCCGCCAAAGAAAAGACCTTTTCAGGTTTAAAGATTGCATAGCTCAACAGGTATAACCCTTTTTTTTTTAGCTCTTTTCGGGGATTTAAAAAATTCGAATCTTGATTGAACTTCCGTGGAAGAGGTCATTGGTGATGGCCCATATATCATGTGTGCATCACTGTGTATGTTATAAGAAAATTGGTAAACCTAGCATTTTAAATATTTTGTAATGCCAAGAAAATCGTACTAACGATTTTCTTGAATGATTTTATCTTTTTGACTGCTGACTATCTCAAGAAATATTGAGATAAAAAATTTTACAAAACAAGATAACTCTGGCGCAGAAATCAGGCAACCCTCGTAAAACGTTCTCTAGATTATGACTGTCGAAAACGTTCTCGTGAAATGCATCACTTTGATTATGAGCCTATTTTCACTTTGAATTCGCGCCACCTTCTAGAAGTACCACTTGTCCAAGTACCACTTGTGTACGTACGACGTCCCATATACTGCTACATGGGGCTCGCAGCAGCAGTCAGCTATTATACTCCCGAAATAAATAAGAGTATTATTGCAGTACTTAATCTCAGAATGCTTCATTTTTTTTTAATTGGATTTATTGATCCAATTGATCCTTTCGCGAGTTTAAATCAGCTATCGAGCAAAAAATTCCCATTTGGCTTTCGAACCTCTACGTTTTTCCACCGTGAATTCCTCCGCGCGCACTTACAACAGTAGGGCCCAACATGCGGACAATTCGAATGAGAAGACGCTCGAAACTCAAAAAATCTGCTCTGACATCCGAGATTCAGACGGCTTACCAAAAATTGCTATACAAATAAAAATATTATTCAAAATTGTGCCATCTCTTGAAAAATCTAGCTTCTATTTCCATAAAAATTATACATAAATTTGTTTAAAAATTCACCATGATTCAGAATACAGAAAAAGCTAATTTTTGGCTCTTTTTTGGAGTTATTTCCATCATCCCTGCGCATTTCTAGGAAAACTTGTGGTTTTTCTTTGCTTTTTGGGCTCGGCTCCTTTTCATGCAAAATGATCAGATTATGAAGGAATCTAGAGAACGTTTTACGAGGGCTGCCTTATTCCCGCGCCAGAGTTATCTTATTTTGTAATTTTTTATCTCAATATTTGAATGAATGAATGAAAAGACACTTTATTTGCCACTTTTCAGCATTCGCAAAGTTCAATCAAGAACTCCACATCCAAACCCCCTCCGCCCACCCAACCCAAATCAACTCAAAGACATTTAATCACTTCAGAGCAGGAAATTGAGCACAGTTGGATAAAAAAAAATAAAATAAAATGCAATCCACAAAATACAACTGGACATCTGACATGTATGCATACAGATTATGTATGGTTGTTTTCTGCATTGCTATTTCCTGCATCTTAGCGCTGAAAAAAATTTTTATTTAATTTTTTGGGGACTTTTTCCTAATTTTTGAACAACGAGAGAACTAATTGAACATACTGTATTGTATTCACATCGAATTCTACGGAAAAACCTGATCGAACATGTCAACGCTCCAACATAGTGACAAGGTCCAAGCACAAATTACGTCCGCATCTCGGGGCCTGGTCCACTCACTGCCACTTGAAAAGCCTCACTTTAAATTAAGTGCAATAATCCCTGGGGGGGGGGGATAAATCCGCGGTTCATGCATTGTGAATGGCTATCATTGATTTCATTGATTGATCATTGATTGATTGGCTATCTATGATCATCATCTTCTCCACTCTCCGTGAAATTTGTAGGTAAAAGTGACGCGTTGGAGCGGCGCTCGTGGGCGGGTGGCAGTGCCTTACCGCACCGTGGAAGGCACAGCGAAACCCGAGAAGGACTACGAACCCGTGACCGGAGAATTGGTTTTCGAAAACGAGGAAACAGAGAAGAACATCATCGTGCGCATCATCGAAGAGGACAGCTATGAAAAGGACGTGTTGTTCTACGTGGAAATCACGGAACCCAGGCAGATTCTTGCCGGGGAAGCAGACTTGGACAAGATCATGGCCAAGCAGGCGAGCGAGCTTACGGAAGACGAGAAGATCGCCATGCTGGGCAAACCGAAACTCGGGGATAACCTCGTTTGCCAGGTGAATACTTCACACTATTTACAGTACACGTACATTATCTTACTTGTTCAGGTTTCCTCCTCCAGCCCAACTATCTCATGTGACCGAAGTTATCTTGTGTTGCTTTTGTGGGGAATTAAAAAATAAAAATACTGCTATACACCTCTTGAATCTATGAACCGAAATTGAAAAGTTTGGTCATATTGCGAAGAATCACGGTTTTTCAGCATCCAAAACCGAACAAGATATTTTCATCGCTCATCCGGAACCTTTTCGGATTGTCTCCAAAACATTTTTGAACTTTCGAATGTTTGTATTAACGATTCTATTGTTAGAAATATGGAATTACGAATGATTTCGTGAGACGAGCAAGAAAAACTCGCAAATTTTCCCAGCTGATAAATGTTCTGCTGACGTGCTTTTATTGATTTAAGTTGCTCAATAAAAATATCAATGTGATCCGCAGATGATTATTCAACGAAATTGTGTACACTCCGAGGGTTTATGAAATTACGACAGAAAAGCAGACTTATGCTGGCCCCAAACTTTTCTTTTTCATTATCTTGGCCATCTGATGAAATTTTTTGAGAAAATAATAACATTATTAGTAGGTTCAAATTGTTGCGTCGACCAATGGAAAACGTTTGCTTGGCTGACTTCGAAAATTATAGGACTTCACTCGTATTCTGCATTCTTCGCAATCCGAAAAATTCTTACATAAACTAGTAAATTATAACAACGGTGGTAAAGAAAATAAGTGAATGTGAATGGGTTGCACAATCCGTTGAATTTTTAAAGATTTTACTTTAAAACCTTCACAAATTCTTCTGAGAGTAATTTCCCTTTATTTTTATTGTATATAGTTATCTGAAGGAGAAAAAATAAGAAATCATAGGTCTGGAATTTGGAAATTTGAATTGCACGTGATGTCGTCAAGGGATTCGTGTTTTCGGACATCATGACAGCTTCTGCCTCCGGCACATGAGATGTGACTGCAAAGAATCACGTGCAAAAAAAAAGGCACAAGTCTTGACGTTCATCTCAATGCCAGGCACGCGTTTCAACTTTTAAGCCGCCTGCTCGCATTTGAAGGAATCTCGATCATGTATATATGGACTGCCTTGAACATAAACCTAGAAGTTTTCGAATTTTATTCTTTTGATTTTTTACGTTTTTTTTAGGCGAAACGTTTACGAAAGTTTCTTCAATCTTATCCCAATTTTTTGCTCTCACGTCTTCAATGAGAATCCAAGGACTTCTGTTCACTTCTTTGGACATTTTCCGGCAGGGAGAACTCACTGAAATGAGGTTTTTTTCTTTCGAAGCTTTTCATGTTCAAACGTTCCCTTTTAGAATGATCATTTAATCTGAGAAAAAATCCCTCGTCTGAGTTGATCATTCCTAGGAAATAACAGCATCAAAATATGAGTTGAAGAAAAAACTAACGAGCTTACAAAGCAAAAACGATCTACAAATTTTGAGAAAGAAATACGATTGGAGGCATCTTCCAATAACTGTTGATCGAATCTTTTCGACAATACATAAAATATCAGTTTTATATGTCTTGTAAAAATCAGGCAATTTAAACAAGAGTACAATCCAAGTTAAACCACGCTTTTCTGCTAGGATTTGCCTGGTTTTGTGACTTCAGCAATACTTTTCGAGTAAATTATTAAACTTATAGATACTCCAGTTTAATCATCATGTGACAAAATAACAAGGAAAGCTGGCCATCTTTTTTGCTCCTGTGAAGTTTTCCTATATTTTAGAAAAGCACTATAATTTATAAAAATAAATTGGATGCAAACATGCACAATATACCTTTTGAACGTGTAAGAAGTATAAGATGTCAGAGGCATTGGTGTCGTTAAAAATGACGAAGAACATATATATTCCTTCTTTCTGTGTCAGAGGAAGTGCGTTGTTTTGTGTACTTTGCAGAACTGACACAGCACAATAAGGTCTATCGACCGCAGACCATTTTACTCAGTTCTGCTTTTGTTGCATGAAAAATGGCTTTCGATCCACAATATCGAGACTATGACTTTGAACATGCAACCTCTGACAATTAATCTTGACTATCCATACTAAAAGAATTTGTGATGATGTAGCAAAAAAAACGTCATTTCAAGCAGCTAAAATATATGAAAATTCAAATGAACCGTGGCTGTTGAATGCGCTGTGGTTTGAATTGACAAATTTCAGCTTGGCTAATCGTACGTAGGTCTTGAAAACTCTCAATTTGTACAGGCTTTACCTGCTGGAAGGGGACATTCCCCAGTGAATCTCCATACAATACGAGCATGATCGTGATGATTTTTAACAAATTAAAAACTAATAATTTCGCTGTTACTTGAAATATGTGCATTTTCAGAGAAGCGTACATAAACAAGGACACTTCTTGCAGCTGTGACTGTGATAAGAAATGCAGAATTAATTGCAATTGTTAGCGAAAAGTTTGAAGAAGTTTCTATATATGAAAAGATTATATGCGTTGTTTTTGCAGTTGGGTCAATTGAAATAATTTTCGTTGTGAAATGTGCATTGAAAATTCACTCCATTTTTACCTGAATAGCGCAACCAATATTTTGATAAATATGCAACAGTAGTCAAGATAATATGTTGACTCATCTCTATTACAGAGTTTGAAATGGTTAAGTAAATAATTTCTGCGGAATTGAAGATCGACAATTTGAAAAGCATACTTCTTATTTCCTGCATATTTTTGATAACATATGCTTCCTCATCTGACGGGCAGTGAAGGTGCAAGTTCGGTTGAGAAGTGCGCTGAACGAATTCATTCCTAAACAAATCACATTTTTCCATGCAAAAAAAAGTTTTCATTTGGATGGCTTTACGTGAAAGAACCAATCGCCTTATTTTTTCTGCGTTTTACTCCAATTTTACTTCCTATTTAACGGTGGGCAAGGTATGATTTCGGTTTGAAAGTGCGCCCATCAATTCTGATGTAAATAAACACAACCTATATTTTTGCAATGCAAAAAATTAGAGGATACGCGTGGAGGCCTTGTTGAACCGTTTTAATTCTCGAAAATGAATCGCTCATCGTTTCGCGGATTTTTTTATTGATATTTTGCTCCTTCGACATGTGTTTGGTTCAGAATAGACTCATCAATTCTAATTGTTTTCTCTTTCAAATCTCAAGATTTGGATAAAAGAAAGCACAGGATGTGCAGTATATGCATGCTTGTGACCTCGTGAAGCGTTTTAATTCTCTCGTCAAGGAATCACTCATCGAGAAGATTTCGACATTTTGAGTGATATTTTCTTCCTTCGACGCTTGGTTTTGGATAGACTCCTCAATTTTAATTGTTTTTTCTTCTAAATCTCAGCATTCGGATTAAAGAAAGCACTGGATCCAAGATATGCATTTATGGTGGCCTCGTAACGCGTTTTAATTCTCTCGTCAATGAATCGCTCATCGTTCCGCGCATTTTTTAAAATTCATATTTCGCTCTTTCGACACGTGGTTTGGGATAGACTCATCACATTAATTTTTTTCCGCATTTTTTTTTTTTAATCTCAAGATTCGGGTTAAAGAAAGCAAGGAGTTCAAGAACACAGTGGACAAGCTGCTTCAGCGTGCCAACGCGTCCATCGTGGTCGGCACGTCCAGCTGGAAAGAGCAGTTCAGCGAAGCCCTCACAGTGAGCGCCGGCGACGACGACGGCGGCGACGACGATGACGACGAAGGCGGCGACGACGACGACGAACGCTTGCCCTCCTGCGGCGACTACATCATGCACTTCCTCACTCTGTTCTGGAAACTGTTGTTTGCGTTCGTGCCGCCGACGGATTACTGGGACGGCTGGCTGTGTTTCACGGTCGCCATTCTCTGGATCGGCTTGTTGACGGCGTTCATCGGCGACCTGGCGGGTCATTTCGGATGCGCCATCGGACTCGCGGACTCGGTCACGGCTATTTCCTTCGTCGCTCTGGGAACCAGCATCCCGGACACGTTCGCGTCCAAAGTCGCTGCGATTCAGGTGAGCACGAATTCCAGAACCCTATAATATTACAGTAGGACCTACTTATTGAGCCGAATGTCAATGGACCAGCAAAACGAAATTGAGTTAGGGGAGGTGTGGGAACTCAGTGTTTCCCAACCTTTTTGGGCCTGATGTGGACCAGCAACAAATTTCCATAAATTTGTTTGCAGACTGGTAAATCTCCAAAAAAAATTTTGCTGACTAACAGAGTCACATAAATTGCTTGCAGACTAAACAAATATTCTTGTTTGAAAGACAAACAGGTATTTAAGAAGCTTCTGCTATTTTGCGACAATTAAATTAAGAACAAATGAAGCAGCTATATAGCGAAATGTTTTGCAAAAACGAGAAAGGTGGGCTTTAAGAAGGGTTGATAAATTAAAAACAAATTAATTCAGCATGCAAAAATTTGTCCGGAGCGTTAGCTAGGGGAAAAAAGCCAACATTTATTTTTTCACGAGATATGAACTCCAATTGTCTTTGCAAAATTTTGGATAAATAAAACAGACTTCATTGCTAATTTTGATAAATTCATTATACGGAAGAAAATTTCCCACAGACCAGCGAAAAACTTCTGCGGACTGGCACCAGTCCATGGACCATGGGTTGGCAACACTGAGTCAGACTTGACAATGCAAATCTTGGATTTTAACAAAATTTCTCCTATCTTCTTCATAAAAAAATT